ACAGATATCGAGGTTGGGCCTCTCTGCTCCCAGCTTCCCATAGCCCTTCTTATTAGTAAAATCATGTTAATAAATAGTCTCATTTATGCTTTGAATGAATTGGGGTACAGTGGGTTTTAAAGCAGTGGAGAGTGTGCCCCGCACAGCCATGAGGTCACTGGAATCATTGTCATCAGAGGCTGGGTTGGCAGTAAGAAGATAAGGCCAAAGAGGAGAGAGAAACTGCAGAATTTATTACAGATTTGAGGTAATTTATATGCAAAAGGGAAATAGAAATTAACTTATAATCACAAATTGTGGGGGCCAATATGTGTATATGTAACAATATGTATGCACACTGAAATAATTATGTTTATATATGTATTCATTATATACAAATGAATTCTATGAAAATTCTCTTCTTATGAATCTAGTCTCACAAGCCTTCTTGATATGGGTCAGGTTCAAGTTCTTACTTTCTCATTAAGAACACTAAAAGGACAACAGACCTGCCACTTGATCTTATGTTTTGAAATACACGCCTAGATTCTATTAGTTCTACTTGCTAATATTTTATTTTAAATAATGGTAACTGAAATTCTAAGTGACCTTTAGTTCCTTTGTTTGTGTTTTATTATTGAGGACATGGAGACCTTACTTCTATTTTACAGGTGTTTTTAGTAAGCTCTCTTGAAGTCATAAGGATTCATTAGTCCTTTCAAATACTTTTACATTTTTCTATTTCCTTAATTTCAGCCTTCACCTAAAAATGGTTTTTAAAAAGTATGCTTGATTTGACTGTATATTTGCATTTATGTAAAATTGGGTATAATACATAGAAACTGAAACCGTACTGCAATGCACTGTGTGTATGTTTTCCTGCTACTTTTTTACTCTTCTATGAAATTTCAAACTTAGACGTATGCTTCTATTTTATGCAAATATATTAATATCAAACAAGTAAAAATGTTGGTAAAGTAAAAAGATCAGGTTTCACACTTCTCTATTTTGAGACAATTGTTTTCTAGTTTAAGAACATTACCTATAGAGGACACAGCATGTAATATTAGCAAGGAGTGGGCAATTATTAGGATATATGAGTTATAAAGAAAACATCATTTGAAGTTTTGCTAATCTATTTAACTCAGACAGAACATCTGGTTTAAACAAATAATTACTCCTGAAATTATGTTTGTCAACATGATGCTCTTTTTATGGATTTGTTAGTTCCCACACATTCCTGTTTCAATCATTAGTTGTTTTGTTGTTGTTGTTGTTTTAGAAACCAATTGAGAATTAGTGGTGCATCTATTGTAAGCTTAAGAAGAGATTGTAGGATCTAGAGTACCTGAGGTTTGGGTTTCTTCTTTCATTGTCTCCATGAAATCCTCTCCATTATATGCACACATCCCATTCTTTCATCCAGTCATTCACTGATGGACATTTGGGGAGCTTCTACCTCTTGGCTACTCTGAAGGAGGCCACTATGGACACAGGTGTGCAAATATGTCTTTGAGACCCCACTTTCACGTTTGGTATCTATAATAAGAAGTGGGATCCCTGGCTGGTGTAGCTCAGTGGATTGAGCGCGGGCCTGCGAACCAGACAATCGCGGTTCCATTCCCAGTCAGGGCACATACCAGGGTTGCAGGCCGGTTCCCTGCAGGCCAGTTCCCAGCAGGGGATGCATGAAAGGCAACCATACATTGATGTTTCTCTCCCTCTCTCCTTCCCTTCCTCTCTAAAGATAAATAAATAAAATCTTAAAAAAAAAAGAAGTGGGATTGCTGGATGATGCAGTAGTTGTATTTTTAATTTTTGAGGAACCACCATACCATTGCCATAGAAATTACACTATTTTACAATTTCATTAAAACTGCACAGGGGTGCCAGTTTATTGACATCTTCATCAATGCTTGCTATTTTATTTTGATAGTCATTCTATTTGGTGTCAGGTGATATTACCTGGTGTCAGGTGATATTTCATGGTTTTTATTTGCATTTCTCTAATAATTAGTGATGATGACTATTTTATATGCTTATTGGCTATTTACAAATCATCTTTGGAGAATGTCTGCTCATGTCCTTTGCCAATTTCTGAATCAAGTTGCTTATTCTTTGTTGTTGAGCCATCGGAGTTCTTCACATATTCTGAATATGAACCCCTTATCAGGTATAAATTTTATACATTTTTCTCCCATTCTGTAAATTGCTGTTTTACTCTTTGATTGTGTCACTTAATGCACATAAATTTTAAGTGGAATATAGACCCATTTTTCAATTTTTGTTTATGTCGTCTGTGATTTTAGTTTCACATCCAAGAATCCTCATTATAAATCTATTCCTCTATTTTTTCAATGTTTTTACTTTTATTTATTTTTAGAGAGATTCGAAGGGATAGTGAAAGAGAAGGAGAGAAATATTAATGTGTGCCTCCCTCTCATGCACCCCCTACTGGTGACATGGCCCACAACCCAGGCACATGCTCTGACTGGGAATCAAACTGGCGATCATTTGGTTCACAGTCCACTAAGCCACATAAGCCAGGGCTACTTTTTTTTCTCTAGGAGTTTCATAGTTTTGGGTCTTATATTTAGCTATCTGATGCATTTTGAATTAATTTTTTAATATAATGCAAGATAAATGTCTAACTTTAATCTCATGGCTATCCAGTTTTCCTAATACCATTTGTTAAGGCAACTGTCCTTTTTAAAATAATATTAATGCCTATCACTGCTTCAAAACTCCCTTATATATTAATTCTACTATTACACTTTTTTATTTAATGTACTACTGAAGAAGCACATTGCCATATTATATATTTACTTTTTAAGCATGATGACAAATGTATTTTAATATATTTTCATGTAATTCTTTGTAATAGCTTTCATATGCTTATTAATTTAATGAGTTTATAATATAGAATATTTATTTTGTGACAATTTATTCATTTAAAGATATTATGAGAAGTGTATCATGGGTTTCTCTAGACTTCCACAAGGGTCTATGGCCTCAAAAATATTAAGAAATCAGAGATTTTTTTCAGTAACTTATGCAACAGATAAAGTCTAGAACTAAAGTGATATAACATTTTAAGAGCCCTCACCTGGAGAAGAACAACAATGGGAAATCAAGAATTAAACAAATTCAGCATGATTAAATGATTAAATAAATGCCAAGACCAAGGGAAAGGTGATCAATGATGACCATCCAATTTCTAACTTAGGTGACTGAGTGGCTGGTGGTGTGTAGCCCTGGAAGTCATTAGTGTAGAAGTTACATTTAAAGCCATAGAGCACCCGTGGTTACCGAATCGAGAATAGTAAAGGAAGAATCTGACTGAATGTAAAATCATAGGTAATCACTATTCAGACCAGCCAGTTCATTATGATCAACCAGGGTGTCATGTTGTATATAGAATGAGTCAACAAGTAGGACTAGTATGTAAAGAATAAAACTTTGATGAGCAATTGGTGGTTAATTTGTAAAAGACCATTCATTATGACTCTACTTTGCATTTATAATTTGTGCGCCTGCAATTATTTGCAGGCAAAAGAAATGCAGCTCTATTTGCCTAATTATAGGCACAACCATCCAAATTTGCCGTGAAAAGAACAGCACAAAGAGATACCATCTGTGAAAGAGCAGCAAACCCCTCAGACATTTTTTTCCTCCAACCTGCAAGCCTCCCGGACGCACTTCCTTTGCCCTTCTGCTGTGAGCTTCATTCTTGCCTGATTTTGTTCGCACATTATAGGCTACTCACTCCAACAAGCAGACAGCCAGTGGGCCTTTCCTTTTATCAAACCACTATGCATTTTCTACACATTTTCTACCATAGTCAGAGAAGACTGAAAATGGCAGCCATTTCTAAAGTACATTATTTGCCTTGTTAATGTGAACAGATTCAATCTTTTATTCACATGTAATTTACAAGGTAGGCAACTTGAACCCTGTAAAGATAAAATCACATACACATTTCTGCCCCAAGCTGACAGGAAAATTATGTTATTCTACTCAAAAAAATTTAGCTGTTTATTGAAAGCACAGCTGTCAGATTGAATCAAATATATTCATATTTCCCCATTAAATTCTTAGGACCATGATGAAACTTAATAATTGTTCCTTGGAGTTTGATTTCTTATAAAGCATCATAATACAGTCAGTACAATTTCAAATAATTATTGAACTGTGTGAAGACAGTTATGATTTCAGGTGGGAAATATTTAATAGTAGATGAGAAATATAAAACCAAGGTTAAGACTTGATAAAGGTTCTGTTCTCATACAAACCTCAGTAATAATAAAAATGGGGGCAGTATAGTCTGCTTTGTGAAAATGGCACATATTTCTGGCAGAATAATTTTCAGAGGTTTTAATGATTCAGATATTATTGCTCATCACTTAATCATATTAAAAACTTTGAATCTGGTAAATTATCTGTGGTAGAAACAATACATTTTAAGAGTAGACAATTAGGGCATTTATTAGGCTGATTAAAACCACAACATAACATGTATTTCTTCTATATAAAACCCATGTTTCTCTATTCTAATAATGTTTGGAATTGTCCTGAAGGTTTTAGGGGCAAATGAAGGCTTAGGGATTCTAAAATGATCCATATTTTTATTTTTTAAAGAGTTGCAGTACAGAGGAAGGCACACTGTCATTCTGCCTTTCTGTCAGTGATGTGTTGGTCCCAGAGAGGTGAAGCAGTTGTTAGACCCCAGCCTTAAATTCACAGACAATGGGGTGTATATTTAGACATTGAAGATTCGGCAACATAATTGAGTGTTGTTGAAAGGAATCATGCTAAGAAAATGAGAATTCATAAGGGGGAAGTATCACTCCCAAAAGAGACTTAATTAGAAGTAAATGTTTGTTGTGTCATATAAAACAGGAAATTTTAGTGGATACAATCAAAATTCAAAATATTATCAATAGCATGATAAATGAAAGCTGTTCATCTTCACAAGAACTAGAAGGACATTTTCAGACATCAAAAAGGATGATACTACTCACATCCTGAGCTACCGTTTGTTGACACCAGAGTCAAGTTGGAAGGCCACGGATTCCGAACAATATCTTGCCAATGAATTGTGTCTGCATAACAAAGAAATTTGTTCTGGTCTACATAGACTCCACCATTTAGGATTTCTGTATTAAAACAAACAAACAAAGGGAGATTTGTTGTCAAACTTTTTTGTCAATGAAAAGGTAGTCATTAAAAATGATTTAAAATATTTTCAATGTTTACTTAGAGTTACTTGGTTAATAGTCAGGATATCTTTTAAAATATATTTGATTGAGTTATATAAATTAAATGGCAGAAACTTGAAAAGATTAAAAAATGCAAAGTAAAATGATCACCTATAACCCAAACACTCAGAGAGAAAACATTCTTAACATTTTAATATAGATGCTATCAGTCTCTTCTTTGTTTTTTGTCCTGAAATTGAAGTAACATTGTTTAGAATATTTAATAACCTGATGATATAATATTAAATGGTGAGTAGTTAATGGTAATTAGATAGAATTCTACATTATTTCTAATGAGAATACAATATGCCAGAATGTAAATTAAATATTATCTATTTAAACAATCCCTTATTGTTTGTCACTTAACTTGCTTATCTCAGATTCATTCTTTAAAGTAAATTTCCAAAAATAACATTATAAGATTATACAGTATGAATATTTTTCAATATTTTAAAGATTTTTTGGTCCAAGTTGTCAAATTTCCCTTAAGCGAAATCGTTTTAGTTGATGTGACATTGACTGGAATAAGTAGGTAAACAGACCAAAAAGGAGTGGAAACTAAAGAATGCTTCAATCACAAAAAGGCTGTCTCACATGCAATCAGTAGAATTGCCAATTATTCTTCACAAACAACACAACACAGGAGAGAATACAAACCCTGTGGCTCCCTGGAACAGTGGCATGGCCACGGGATAAAATGCACGGATGCCAATTTTCACCTCTTTCTCTACTTCACAACACTTGCCTTAATTAGGCAACTTGTCTCCCTGAACAATTGATGATACACATTGATTTCCTTTCAGTCAATTTTAAGTTATCCAGTAAATAATAACTACTTCCTCCCAAAATACTATTGTTATTGCTTGAAAAAATGGTTAGGAATATACTTTGTATTTTTCTGCTCGAATTCTACCACATTTCTCCCTCTTATTTAATAAAATTCACAATTTAAGAGAAATCATATATCGAGCTATAAAGCATTCAGTTACAAGTACCAAAAACCCAATGAATAGTAGTTTAAAGAGCAAGAGGGTGATTTTTCTCACATAAGAAACTATAGAAGGCTGCTGTGAATCCAAGTTTAGCTGCTCCACAGTAGCCACAGCCTGTCTTGTGTGTTGGCTTTATTCTGTCCAGACCCAAGACAGCTGCTACGTCCAAAGGTGTTAATGTGAACACAAGGCATGTGCAGGAAGAAGAGCAAACAAGGGCCTTCTCCTAGTGAGGCACCAACTACCTATTCGGGAAGACATGCCCTCCTCGGGGATTAAGTCTGCTCTTTATTAGCCAACGCAATATCCCACAGCCCTCATTACTGCAAAAGAGGCTGAGGAAGCAAATGTTTAGGTAGACATTGATACTGGAACGAAACCCAAACAAGCACGTGTGACAGTGAAGGAGAGGAACATGGGAATTTGGGAAGGCAAGTAACTCTGTCTCCCACGGTTGGCTTGAGAGAATCACGTCTCCTGTGCAATGTGCCCAGCTAAATCTGTATGCATTAGCTAAAACAAAAAAGCGAGATAAAATATGAAAGGAACAAGTGACAGCAAAAAAAAAAGGACTATTTGTGGAAGTGAGATCGGGGCACATCTAAACTGCCTTACTGTGTTGCATGTATAAAATCCTCCAGATTTATTTTGACATTCATTGCAAGGCTTTCTGCATTTAAAATCACTCATATTTCCATCATTAGTCCTTTCCCTGCCTATTGGTTCCATTTTCTGCAGTGAGAAAAAAAATAAAGAAACAAAAGAAATTTGATAATCTTTCTACTTCTAAAACTCAGTTCATTATTTTTTATAACCTAACCATACAACCTTCATCAAAGCAGAAGGGAGATGCAAGATGGAAGAATGATTGTGAAAATGAATTTCTACATTACTGTTTGGCATTGGGTTTCTATCTAAGAAATGTGACGATCTCATACTAATAGCTTCCTCATGAGACATGAGGTGATGTTCTTCTTCTACAGAAATAATTCTTCATTAGGTGACAGAGAAAGGAGATTTTAACTGCTATCCAGGAAATAAAGGTTATTTTTCAGTCTACATTTGGAAAGTTCTACTTAAAAAAAAATGAAGAGAAAAAGTAATAGCTCAAGCATTGCAGAAAGAATCTGTATTTTTCAGGAGTCACATTTTAATTCAAATAGTTTATACTGAAGGAACATAGTATCCATTTCTAACTTCCTATCTAGACATATTCAAATTGAATCAGATCATATTATACTGAATAATAATCTCATCAAATCCCTTTCTTCAACAATATTAATCTGCTACCAATGTTTACATTTGTTTCTTAGAAGTACTCTGTTCAAGAGATTGGCTTATACTTCAGAGGAGTTTGGAAAGAAGGCAATAATAATTCAAGTATAATCTTACATGTTAAATTTCAAATTAAGACTAGAGTCAGGATACTTCTGTCATCCTAAATTCAAAACCCAGCATCTGCCAGCAATTCTGGTTGGGAGGATTTATATATTTTTTATATTTACTGATATATAGTTTATTCATGTATACATGAATTTTCCTTGAAAATAGACTTTTTTCTTTTATGTTTGTCTTAGAACCTATTTTTTGTTGAATATCAAACTTCACAATCAGAATCTGTGTATTTTACTGACATTTATAGAAGAGCTTTAATGTATACTATATATGTTCTTTTAACCATCTTTTATTTAAATATTTTATTTACTAATTTTTGGAGAAATTAAAGGATGAAGAGAGAAAGAGGAAAAGAAACATCCGCATGAGAGAGAAACATCAATAGGTTGCCTCTCATACACATCCCAACCACAGTCCGAGCCCACAACTCAGGCATGTGGGTTGAACCACATGGAATTGAACCGCTGACCTTTCACTATGAGGGATGATGCCCAATCAATTGCGCCATATTGGTAGGGCATTTGTGGATCATCTTGATTACTTAATTACATCAGGATATAATTTAAAAGTTGCACTTATTGATTTGTGTGGTTTACATTGATTTTATAGCTTTATATGATTTTATAGCTTTATATGATTTTTAAATATTATTTAATATTTTATAGGGAAATATTGTTAGATTCATTTCTGAAATAAGAAAATTTTAGGAAAAGGTATTGACCTGTAAGAAAGTTGTTAAGGCATAGATTATTTACTGGACAAAAGGGATACCTAATGTCTTGCCTGGGTTGACTATACAGACTTGATTCCATTTTTGTTCTTAGAAAGATGAACAAGAATTAGGAAAAGAGAAAAATTTGATAAAGTATTTATCTAAGAATATACCTAAAAAGTCTGTCTATAGAAGTATGTATCTTTGTCAACACGAGAACAGCAGAGCTTTCCATTAGTATCATTGAAGATTTATTGAAAGGTGCCATGTATGTTACACCAAGTTTCCTTCCCATCATCATGAAATAAAATGACTAATAATTAAACTTGAAAACCATGCCAAAAAAGACAGTTTCTAATTCTAAGGAGGAGAAGCAAATGGGGCACAAATTTATTTGATATTTAAACAAACATGCACACAATCTGGAAGAGTGAAGTGACTCAAAGTTTTAAATAAGCTCAAGGTCATCTCATTTCATTGGATTTCACATCCACTGTAGATAATATATCAGAGTAAATTAAGAAAAACGCAATTAGATTCTTGGCAATTAAAACAATTGGTAAAATAAAGCTACTATGCTTTTTTTTTCATATTATACAAAAATATTTCCAGCAAGTTCACAAAACAGTACTGTGTCTTAATAAAAGGTATGGTTAAATATTATAAGCTATATTAAATATGACATTCTACAAAAAAAGCATTTTATTACAGAAAAAATCCAGAAAACACATGATATGTTTGTTTCTCAAACATTACTTCCCAGATTAATGAAAGTCAAGTAAAGGATTAAGAGTTTTTTGTATTTAAAGTAAGTTGTAAACCATACTATTCTTTAATATATTGAATTTAACATATATAGAGAGCATACAATTTGTAACTGAAATATTAGATTAAACTGCATGAAGGCAGGGGATATTTTTCATTTCTGGATCTATTTTATCAAACCCAGAGCAATAAATATGTTTGCAAATTGAGCTGAAAAAAGTACCATGGGATTTGCCACCAACACTGATCAATTAACTTCTTTTTTTTCTAATTAAAAATTATATCCTGATGAAATTAAGAATAAAAGTTACCTTTTTCCAAAAACACTTTATAGCTCATCTTATCTGTCTCTATATTTAATTAACTTTTTTTGTTCAAAACTGTGTCTAACATGCAAGGCAAAAGCAAGATATGCAATAATAATTTTCTTCATTAGAGAAAATTTAATATTTTTATTATAGGAGGCATTAATATGTATATATATAATTTTGAGGTTAGAGCTTTTATAGGCTGAGGGGAAAATAACATGTTTTATATAAAAATTTTTTATTAATAATGTACAAAATTATTGCAGGTAATGTGCTTGATATTTACAGTGCACATTTAGATATGGTCATTCGTATCCCTAAACCTATTTTATACACTCAATTCAGTCTTTTGTCAGGTGAATAATAATGATTTTGTGCTACCCGAGACATTCTCCCAAACCCATTCAAATCATCTAGAATATGCTACACAGAAGTTTAAAATCATGTTTTTATATTGAACCATAAATCTACCTCATATCATTCCTTAATTATTTTTTAGAAAGCTGTTAAGTGCCAGTATGACATTTTAAAGAGGACATAAGGTACTCCTGTCTCAGCCTTCCAATTCAGAAAGGTTGACTATCTGACCATTTTCCTCCCTGATTCTTATTTGCATAAGTCTAATGAAGAAAGAAATGTTTGTGTTATTTAAATAAGTTATCCCATGCTCTTCACTTCTTTTCAAATGCTAGTTATTATAGTGAATTTGGGGATGAGTGACCATTA